GTACGTTGTGTATGGTAGCTATCCTTTAAGCTCAACCATCCAAATAGTTTAGATCTAAACAATGTACTTTGCAATGAATGCTCGTATTTTATTCGTCTGAGCTATGCCCTTTCTGCAGTTCCTTTCTTTTAAATGTGTTGGATTGTTCTGTCTTCACTTTTGTGTCGTTACTGTTCTGGTATATTAGATCTCAAAATAATTACACATACCACTGTTGCCTCAGTTGAAAAGTAATAGATTCCCTTCACACCACTTGTCTTTTAGTCTTTCCTTCTACGACCATTGTTTATTGTATTTTGGATCATTTTGGGCCGCAGAGACACTGAACAGTTCGAGAGAAATTTTCTATGTTTTGTTGTTTTATTCAACGTTTAGGAAGATCCCTGCTCTTATCTCACCTTCCACCCTCTCTCATCAACTTTACTCTTCTTCCGTTATTTCCTCACAAACATCCTAAATCAGCATACTGTGCCTGTTCCGCCTTCCTTCTGGTGTCATCCGGTTCGCTCTTCGTCCCCAAAATCCCTCACAAAAGAGGCATGTTTCGGCTAAAGCTGCTTCTGGATTTGAATGGAACTGAAGGGGTAGAAACTGCTCTCAAGATACGACTCTTGCATGTTTGGGGTTATTGCAATACAGAAAATTCATCCATCCTCTCACAAATTTGCAGTCTTTGGACCGATTCCAAGGTACTATAGCATTTCCTTTAACGTTTTTTGTTCCACTTGCCAGCTCAAATTGTGCTCCTCGGTCATTTCTCTTGCTTCGCCTCCTCCCTGTTTAACAGGGAACCTTGATCCAGGCCATCGCGACACCAGATTTAGGTCACCGATTTGGCGCACACTTGCAACTAGGGTGTGTCTACTTAGTTACTGGATACCAGCTGGCAAAATCACAGCCAATGTGCCGCCCTTGCTCGCATAGATTTAGTTTGGTTCTTTCTCAGGGAACCATATTTGAGGATGTGACCATGTTGTCACCGGGTTTCTGTGCTGATTCATTTGAGTTTTTCCACTTCAGTTCCTTGCGCGGCTTGACTCGCTCAACAAACCAGCTCATAGGTTCACCTGGAAATTACTGTAATATCATCACATATACTTCACCTGATGTTTGCACTACTGAATTGACGATCTTTTAAAACATCTTCACATGTAGATGTTGTTGGCAGAGTTGTGTCTGTGAGCGGGTTATCCTGTTCAGCAACGTCCACTGGTGCTGTTATTAGGCGGAAACTGGTCATGCAGAACGAAAGGTCTTCAGTGCAATGCGGTTGTGTACCTTTCCATTTGTAGTTGATTTAACTGAATTCCAATCATCTCCCTCTTGCCTGCACTTTACTATTGCAGAAATATACGTGTTAACATCACCATATGTGGCGATGTTGCTCGATCACTAGATGGAGAAGAACTAGCATACCTTGGCCGCATGGGCTCTGTTATACTTGGTGTATGCAGTCTTCAAGTTACTAACGCCACAGCAGGTTTACAGTGCATCTTTCTACCTCACAGTTAATGCTATTGCTATTCCATTCTACGACGCCTCACATCTGCTTTCCTACTTTTACCAAAGGCGGCATTTTTTTAACCAGCACCTCCGCCACACGGTTTGTTTTGGAGCCATCCTCTGATTTGGCAACTGTTTTGCGTGCTACGTAAGTCTCTTACAAGCTGCCGTTTTTAGTAATTTACTTTCCGTTTATCTCATATACTTTCGAATTTGTAGGTCTACTGG